GGGCCCCCCCCCCCGTTTCCTGGGGGGGGGGCTGGGCGGCTCCCCCGGTGGGGGCTCCACCAGGGGGTCCCCCCCCCACCCCCATCCCCCCTTTTGTTTTGGAGGCTGTCGCTCCGGAAAAACTTGTCTCGCAGCTGCGAGAAATTTCCTTCTCGGGTCCGTTGGCCTCTTTCGTAGGGAAGAATTTTGATACCCGTCAAGACGCCTGCTGGGGGCAGCTTCGCGATGAAGCCGTCTGCTCCCCACTTGTCAACAGCAGGCGCTGGCGCCATCAACGTATCAACGTTCCTCCCACATGATGTTGACAGGGTGGGCGGGTGGTCCATCCATTTGCTCCAAGGTAATCGCAAGCAGACCGCATGGCTTGGCTGCGACGGCGACTGACAGAACTGCGAGAACTGCGACGGCGACTGCCAGGACTGCGATCCGCCTCGGGCATACAGGTAGTGCAGCGGGCACGCGGTCGAACACGCCTTCAGAGCGCGCGCCGAAGCGAGCACCAACACCGCTCGTCGAGCCGCCGTCGATGGCGGTGGCGGCAGCCCCGCCGGCGCCCTCGAGAGTGGCCCAGCCGCACACACACGCGAGCGCTCGCCGCCCCCCCCCTCAAAGAGGCGGGGTGGTGACGGGCGCCCGCGGCTGGTGCACGAGCGGCGATGGTGTTGCCCGCCCGCCGAGCCGCGCGTGGGCAGCGCAGGGGCAGCGCGAGCAGCCACGACATGGTGCGGTAGCAGCGCCGCGCCCGGCGCACCAGCGGCGGCGGCAGCTTTGAGCCCGGCCGCAAATCGCCTCGGGCATACAGGCAGTGCAGCGGGCATGCGGCCGGGCACCGCCTCCAGAGCGTGCGCCGAGACGAGCACCCAATACCGCTCGCCGAGCCGCCGCCGCGGCAGCGGACGGCGCCGCGGCCCGGCCGGCAGCATGTCGCCAAGGGGGGGAGGCGAGCGCGCCCCACCGACGGTAAGGGGTACTGCCAGGCCCACTCGCCGGGCGCCGGGACGAGGAAAGGCGAGCTGGCCCGATGGCCAGCTGACCCGAAGGCGAGCTGGCCCGATGGCCAGCTGGCCCGAAGGCGAGCTGGCCCGATGGACGCAATGTCCCGATGGACGCAATGTCCCGATGGACGCAATGTCCCGATGGCCAACTGACCCGAAGGCGAGCTGTCCCGATGGACGCAATGTCCCGATGGCCAACTGACCCGAAGGCGAGCTGTCCCGATGGACGCAATGTCCCGATGGCCAACTGACCCGAAGGCGAGCTGTCCCGATGGACGCAATGTCCCGATGGCCAACTGACCCGAAGGCGAGCTGTCCCGATGGACGCAATGTCCCGATGGCCAACTGACCCGAAGGCGAGCTGTCCCGATGGACGCAATGTCCCGATGGCCAACTGACCCGAAGGCGAGCTGTCCCGATGGACGCAATGTCCCGATGGCCAACTGACCCGAAGGCGAGCTGTCCCGATGGACGCAATGTCCCGATGGCCAACTGACCCGAAGGCGAGCTGTCCCGATGGACGCAATGTCCCGATGGCCAGCTGACCCGAAGGCGAGCTGTCCCGATGGACGCAATGTCCCGATGGACGCAATGTCCCGATGGACGCAATGTCCCGATGGCCAACTGACCCGAAGGCGAG